ATTTTCCATGCCCATGAAATCATCATAAGCCTCCTTAGCCACTGCCTTCATCCCTTCAAGTGCTTCCTTATATGCTGCCTTGTGTGTGCTATGCACTACCCTCCAAAAACAGCTCTTCAGTGCACTGCCTTTGTAAGATTTCTTCCAATTCATGTACACATGTCGTGCACAATTTCTATGTTCTGCATGTGGTGAGAGGTCCCTTATTGCAGCAATGAGTCCCTACATAATGAGAAAAGTCAGAACGTATATATATTAAAGATAAGCCTAACAACCAAATATATTAGTGCACATATTGAAAGAACTAACCTTTTGCTGATCACTGATAAATGTCCATCCAAGTCCATCTGATATCCCCAAATCTTGAAAAAGTATGTCTAGAAACCATTTCCAGTTGCTCTCATTCTCAGAATCCACAACTGCCCATGCCAAAGGAAATATCTGGTTGTTCCTATCCTTGCCAACAGCACACAATAATACACCTCCTAAAAAGGTCTTCAAGAAAGCCCCATCAAGGCCAATAATTAGCCTACAGCCTTGCAAGAAACCTTGTCTTAGTGCACTAAAACCAAAATAAAAACATTTGAATACACTGCCACTCTCCAATTTCAGCTGAAATGTGCCATTTCTATTAACCCTTTGAAGCTCTGCAATGTACCTCCTAAGTTTTCCATAGTGCTCCTCCTCTGTACCTCTAAGCAGTTTAAGAGTCTTAGTTTTTGCTTTGTACAGTTTCCACCTAGAGGGTTGCACACCATATTTTTCACTGATAGAATCCTCTAAGTCAGAAATTTTCATCTTAGGCTTCTTTCTAATCATAGTTAGATATTCCCCAGCAACCCAAGAAGCAGTTGCTTGTTTAGTGTTCAAGTCCCTATGGCAGCGGTGGCTACTAACAAAGGTCTTCACAGCCACACTACCTTCACCTTTTATCAGACTAGCATAAAGCCTCCATGGACAACCAACTTTACACCTAGCTTCAATCTGACTTGAACTACTTCTGATAAAACTTATGTTGCACCCATTATAAATTGCATAAATCTGAACTGCCTTCCTACATTGCCCAATGGTTTCAAATCTCATCCCAAGCTGAAATTGGAAGGTCTGCAGATCTCCCTTTCCATCATAAACTATTTTTTTCTTCTTAGGCCTTGCTTCATCATCATCATCACCAAGACCCTCACCACTAGATGAATTAGTGTTGACATTCCCTTCAGAATCTTCATATTCTGACTCATTATCTCTTGCAGGTATATTGTTGTCATCAGCCTCATGATGTGAAGATGGTTGTGCAAATGACATGTTTGCATCTCCATCATCCATTGACTGTCTGGAGTTCAAAGCTTCTCTCCTAGCCTGAAGATACTCCTCATCATATGTTCCTAAATCTTCATCAGACAAACCATCATTACTTGAAGATTCACCAGATGGTTCATACTCCTCATCCCCACTTTCATCTAAAGCAAACTCATCCAGCTTTTCACTAGTATCCTTTGCTTGGTGTACTTCAGCAACTTCAGATACCCTATTCCTATTTGACTTTTCTTGTTGACAAACAGCAGCAACTTCAGGTACCCTATTCATATTTGACTTTTCTTGTTGACAAACAGCAAAAACTTCAGGTACCCTTTTCCTAACTGACTTTTCTTGTTGACAAACAGAAACCACAGACGGTTTGTTCAGTTGTTCAGTTTGCACAAATATTTCAACATATCTTCTGTTTCCCTGCATTTGACCCAAACATGCCATAACACCAGCATCATCTTTTATATCCTGAAACTCACGTGTTGTCCGATGCTTATAACATATTCTACCCCAGATTTCATATCCCAGCTTCTTTATTTCATCTTCGATGTCAAAATAACCTAGCCTATCTGCATCCAACCCAGTAACCGTGGCAACACAATCACCATAATAATACTCATGCCCTTCGAGAGTGACAAATCTACCCTTGTGATTGATGAATAACATAAAGAAATCACTGCAAATTCAAAAAATCAAAATTTTTTACCAAATCGAACCCTAAAAAAACTAAAATCAATTAACCATTTTAACTCTAAAAAGGCATTTACCTTGCGACCATGATGTTAACAAGTTCTTGTGTATGCCCATGATAAACGTCACGAACATATGGAAGACACACCCTTGTAATTTTGGAGCAAATAAAAACCTAGGGTTTGGAAATGAAAAATCAGGAAGGGGATTTGGGGAAAATGAATGATTGTGGTGAATTTGGGGAAGAATCGTCTTTTATACTAGGGTTATTACCACCTGGACGCTGACTCGGACGCCCGTTTGGTGTTTCTGTCAAGTTAAATTGCCATATCACACTTCCGTTGACGGCAGTTAGAAGTATGTATCGGGTTGCCAAAATTTTAAAGGTCATGTATTTTTCTGACAAGGTTTGAAGGTCGTGATTAAATTGCCAAACGCGTAAAGGTCGTGTTAATTCCCGCCATTTTGCCATTTATCTTATGTCATTGTAGCCAGAGAGAATATATATCTAAGTATTATGAAATATTATATTTACAAATATACTTGAATTTGCAACCGTTGTGATCAAAATAACAGCAAATGAAACATAGTTAGTTAGCTTAAAATCAACAATAGAAAAATGATAATTAAAAATCATGGTTATAGCAAATTCGGGTTATTTTTCGAAGAGTATGACACAAAAGGAAGATATTAGAAAACTCTATTATGGTCCCAATAATAATGATAATTATTTTGAGCATAATGAAGGTATCATTAAATAACAAAATCAAAGACGACAATTATTTTCGGAACATTAAATTTCACCAAAACAAATATCAATATTATCTTATATTTTCAACCTAATGTTTTTTATTCAATTTCAATTGTCATAGAATTCAGTTATAGTACTTATATTATATTTCACTATTCAATACATTTAATACTGTTTATCATAGTCTACATTGTTTTTCGTTAAACTAATGAAAAGAAAATTGTATTATACTATTTGAAATTTGATACTTGTGCACCAAGTATCCAGAGTTGCATACAATGTAGTCAAACAGAATTAAAAGAAGATTCAAATGATTGCGGAAGTTGTATCACTGAAATTGAATCTTTAGAGAGCGTCTCACTCTCCCTTCGGATTTCTTTCATTAATGCAAATATCACAAACATTCTTCAAGGGTTTACAGTATAGACTCCTTCTACACTCTACTTGAACAATGATTCGCACTATTACTTATCCGACCAAAAATTCCATGTGGCTTTTCTTGTTTGAATCCCTCAAACACTACTAGAATGAACCTTCGTTCACTCTGTATTATTGTTGGTGGTATAGACCGAACGAGTGGTGGTAAGGGAAAAGACGAACCGGATGCATCCGGGATCGGGCCGTTGTCGAACGGATGGGAGAGAATAAGCGAGATCAGGTTAATCATTGCCCAAAGCTAGCCGTACTGTGCGCATTAAATGCGAAGATATACAAAAATCTCCCATCCGACGGCGAGGGAAAAATGGGGACGCGTGGCACGACCAGGACGGATCTCTGGTATTGGGAATAGATTGTTAAGTACAATTAGCATTAATGCAGAATGACTAATATCTAAAAATATCTTGTAAAAGGAAATGTAAAAATCCCCAAGAGGGAAATGTAAAGGTCCCTAAACTTCCTATATAAGGGAGGGGAGGACATCATTTAATGCAATGAGTAAATGCTCTCATTAATTACTCAATAAGTCACGGATAGCCTGAGCATTCGGACCAATAAGTTAGACCAAATCACATACACAAATACTATTCGTGCAGACCGAACAGAGCATACATCTTAGTGTGCAGTTCGAACACATTGTTGGTCATTTTTAGACATCAACAATTGGCGCTAGAGGAAGGGCTATTCCAGCATGTCAAAAACAACTTCATCATCATCAAGCCAAAGTCGTCGCCGAGACACGCCGAAAAAAAGGGAAGACCGGCGAAACAACCAAACTACGAGGATGGACTACTCAGCCTTTTTCAAAGACCCAAATTTTGTTAAGGGAATATAAAACTTGATAACACAGATCCGACCCTCTACGTCTCAAGCACCCAAAACCCCAGCCAAAAAAGACCTTACCAACGCTCTCAATGGCAAGGAAACGGACGTTCACGAAGAGACCACTCGATCGCCCGGGAGCACGAAGGAAAAATCTACCACCCGGACAGAAAATGAACAGACAGACGAAAGTCGCTCGGTTACGGACACTCGAACCCGCAACACCACCCGGTCGGTTTCCAAACGGCTGGGAAAAAACGTGGCCGACGATGACTTGAGGAAAACATTTCTCAGAAAGCGAACGACTCAAGCCGAAGAAGAGGAAATGAAAAGTCTCCGAAGAAGAATAGACAAACTCGAAGCTCGACGTTCGGCCCAAAAATGACTTGCCTCCACCGGACAAGACCTGACAGAAGTCCCTCTCAAGCGAGCCGCGACAACCTCAAGGGCACGAACCGAGTTCAGCCCAGCCGAACCCGAATCACCCCTAACATTTGATATTTTGCAGGAACAGTCACCCGAGAAGATCAAGATCTCACAAATTGGATTTTATGACGGAACATCCGACCCGACACCCACCTAGGATTGTACACGTCATGGATGGACCTGCACGGAGCACCGGACGCCCTCCGCTGCCGGATGTTCTCATTAACTCTGGGAGAAAAGGCGCAAAGATGGTACCATTCGCTCGCCCCACATTCGGTCGCTAGGTGGTCACAATTAAAGTCAATGTTCCGAACACACTTTATCGGGTCCCAGGCATGCCGAATTCCCAAAGAATCGATCACTCATATTATTCAAGAAGCGGACGAAAATTTGAAGGATTATATCACTCGTTTCAACGAACGGGTACAAAACATTGAACCGTGCCATCAAGAGACCCTGCTCGTTTCAGCATATTCAGGGTTGAGACCAAAGTCGATGTTCAAATGGACCCTTTGCCAAAACAAACCCCAGACGTACCACGAATTCTCGATAAAAGCTCAACAACATATCATGGCAGAAGAAAACATGTCCGTCCCGTCATTTCCATCCCTGAACGAACCACCTACTAAAGCGAAGGAATCCCGACCGAACAAGGAGTTCACGAAGGACAGAAGGAGTGCCCAATTCCGAGCCATGCAGAGGAAACATCACGAGGAACTCACGAACAGCTACCAGGGAGTGTATTCGGCCGGTGCGGCCGTGGTGTACGAAGATCTGAAAAACAAGGGGA